GTTTGCTAATTTGCCGGTCCTCTGGAAACGCATAAGAAATCACAAAAGGATGCCCCATTCACAGTGAACAAGGCAGTCACATGGAGCAAAGAGAACAAGGCGTTACAGGAACACATACACGCTGATGAATAGAAGAGGGGCTTTAGAAACTCAGGCAATAGCAATACAAACAAAGCCTGGGGTGTCAGGCTGACAATGATCATTGTTTGTTCCCTTTTGCACTGTGTACGATGTGATCAGACACACAGAGGGAGCTGGTTCATCCTACCACAAACTGTGCTGACATAAGTCACTTCCCACCACACAGATCTCTGCTCTTGGGCGTTAGTTTGGTGTTGACCACATTAGCACAAGCAAAAGTGTTCTTCAGGAGTGACACTGGGTTAGAAACTCCTTTAAGTATTTCTAGAGACGAACACCACACAGTATAATTAAAGACACTATAATTAGTGGCTTGATTCCCTTTGCTTTGACTTTGCTTTGGTTCATTTATTTATTTATTTATTCGTTTTGGAAGGGGCTGAAAATCGAATTCAACTTTGTCATCTGCTCACGCTGGGAGCTGTGCTGTTCTCTTGGAACTGCCATGGAAATGCTCGCAACGAGGTGCCAGAATCAGCAAGCAATATCCACGATTTAAGGGCCAGTTCAAACATAAAGGCAGTTTGCAATTCTGCACCACAGGCACTTCTGCAAAGTCCTTGGGGGACAAAGAAATATGTTTTCTCCGTCTTGGCTTGGCCTTTCATTGCTAACAAGTCAGAATGAATGACAGGCATTTTCAAAGAATAAAACAAATGTTAAAAGTAAATAGAAATGCTTTTTGTTCGGTGAATGTTGTATTTTTAATCACACTTGTCAGGTGTAGAACAGGAAGAACTCCTCCAAAGCCATTGTTTGCTCACACAACTGCAACTCTGTTCACTTAAACCATGCTCACGATGTCTGAAGTTGAGCCAACCCTTTTATTGTACATTAATGATTAACCAGGAACACATGTGTGACCCACATGTGTCTTGGCAGCTTTCTTAGGTACACCACTCCAGTTGCAATCATCTAACTACACCTAGAGACCACTGCATGGAGACACACAAGCATCATGCTAACTCGCCTGGTAACGACTTCTGTGGGATAAACAAGGAAGCTCAGATACAAGGATGTCTGGAACCCACATCTTCAAAAGCATCCTCTAACTACAAGTGTCTAAAGCCTCAAGTGTCCAACCTAGAGTGGCTGATCTACAGAGAGGGAGTTGAGCATCACTTCAGCTGAAGTCAGTGGTGGCTGCAGGCTACTAGCACCCTTGGAATAAACTGCTCTGGGTCAATAAATCTCACAGGGTTTATCTGAGGTCAAGCAGAGGGGCTGAAAGTGCCCCAGAACAAACAGTTTGTGCTAATCTAGGCAGCGCCAGGAACAGCTGAAGCATCCAGAAAAGGCTATGAGGCTACAGAACAGAGGAAAAGAAGGTCGCCTCTGAACTTCTCCAGGCCCTTGAGGGGCCTCAAAGGAAATGTCTTGACTTCTCCTCCCAACTTTCCTTCCCCTTCCTCATGCCACCTCTATTCTTAGCAGCTTTGTCTGAGAGCTGGAAATAGAGCACGGTTTCTTAATTCCTCACCTCCCATTACCTCATATTTTGAGTCAGACCGCTCAGGGTGGTGGCAGAGGTTTTAACCTTGCTTGGAGCCGTTGTTCTTGTTTACGCAAAGACTGCTTTCCCATGCTTAGCCATGTCCTTGGCTACTGGGACGTGCTATAGGCATGAAATCAGTCTGATTTGGTACCAAAGATTTATTTCCTTCTACAGCATTACAGGGTCCTGAAAATGCCCTGCCTTGCCCAGATCTTCAGCTCTGCACTCACTAGTGAGCACTCAGTGCCAGTTACCTGTTTTGACACTCCAAAAGTCCTGCTGTTGGCACAATATATGAAGACAACACCAGAACACACTGCTCTTCCTTCCCTGCTGCATTCAACAGGACCACTGAATTACAACTCAAGATGAAACTGGCTCAACAAGTCAGGCAGCTTGCAGGGCTGCTGGCCAGGGGAGTCTCACCTGCATTGATGGCAGCAGACAGCAATAGAAGATACCCAGTCCCCAGCTCTGCTGTTGGGAGTCAGTTCCCACTGGAAAAACAAGTGGAAAACACTGTCCTGCTCCTTTCCTAGTCCCATTACTACCTACTCTATCTACCCCATCTAATCATCATGACATCTGAGTGCCTTTGTGTGTCAGCTTCCTGTGAAGTAATCACCTAAATCCCCCTTGGAAACAAAGCGGACCCTGCTGAGGAACTCACAATAGGTGCCTTTCACTCACAGGACAACCTTGGCCTCGGTGGCACTTACAACAAAGCTTCCATATGTGCACCAGCATGGGCTGATCAGTCAGATCAACCCCACACAGCATCAGAGCCTGGATATTTGTGAGCATGGAGCAAAAGAGCCTCGCAACATTTCCCCATCTTCCTGACCAGTTGTTTAGGAAAAATAAAACTAGGAATGCTCTGGCACATACAGCCTTTATCCACCCCTGTGGGTCTGGTGCCACAGCCTTCACCCATCTCTGTGTGTCTGGTGCCACAGCCTTCACCCATCCCTGCAGGTCTTTTTGGGGAGATAAAAGAGAAGCCCCAGCTCCAAGGGGTGATGTCTGTCGGTCGGCCCCACACTCAGAGCCTCCCCAGCCATCGTTTGCTCTTCAACTCCAGGCCAGGGCTACTTCTTAACTTTTCCTTTGGCAGATATCCCATTTTTCCCTGTCCCTGGGGCAGGGATCAGGGATGATAAGTTCTATTCTAACAGGAGACAACTCAACGATAAATTTGGGCACCTGCAGTGAAGAGGTATTTCTGTGCCCTAGCTGGGATTAGATACAGAATGGATCAATGAAAGATCCCACTGCTTGACTATTATAGCATCATTCATTAGTGCTAAGATTTGAACCTGAATCAACGATTGAGTTAGAAGATTGAAAGAATCACCTTCAGTATTTGAAATAAATTGTAACAGGCCTGTAAAGTCCCCTGAGGTGTTTCTCTTTCTCTCCCTCTATATATATAGATCACTCTTGCTGCACATTTCAAATGAGGTGAAAGTTGCTGAGCTCCTGCGTCCGAAGCAGCAAAAGCTGAGATGCTTTTGAAAAGCGAGAGGGGAAGAAAGAGAAAAACGTATTTTGGGTTTGCCTATCAAAGCACTTCAAGAGCATTCCTGACTGTAGGATCCAGTCATTAACTTGTTATTCAGGAGCTTTTAATCTGTCTCATGCATAACAAGGCAAAAAGAGTTAATAATGAACAGTCTGCCCCTCCTATATACAAACATAGAAACATGCACACTTAGGATCCACTTGTAAATGAGCAGCACCAAGCCCATGCACTGTTGTTGTCACAAAACCAGGGTGAGCTCACTCCTAACTAACTGCTTGGTACACAGAGCCCCCATATTTACCCACAGGACATAGACACCAAGTTTTAACTCTCAGCTCTTTCTCATCCTTTCATTTCTGGGTCAAAGACTCATCCACTCACTACTGATTTGGTAAGAAATTAAATGTGAAAGAAGAAAGCAATTCCACAACTGGGCAAGGAACCGTTGTGGGCAGTTAGTGATTAATTAGCATTATAATACCAGGCAGCCTGGTTTCCCTGCAGAACCCTGGTTTGATAGTTCTTTTTTTAGTTCTGTAGAGGAAATCTTAGAGTTGGCACAAGACCATGTAAAGCACCAGTGCCAAAACCTTTCCTCCTTGTTTCTGAAAGGCAGGGAGTAGAGGCAGCTATAAAATGCCCAGGCACCTAAACCAAGACCCATGTCCTACAGCCCAACCAGAGCAATGGAGCTGTAGTGGGGTGGCTGCACTGTCCTCCCCATGGGGATGGATACTTTGGTGCTTGCCCACCTCCCAGCTCCATGTTAGTCCCACTGCCCCTTAGTTTGGCAGGCATAAAACCCAAGACCACCTAACTTGGAGCCATATCCATCTCTTGGCACAGTTGCAGTCTGATTTAGACACAGGATGATGTCTAACCTGTTGGGTGGTCAAGGAAAAAATTTAACTCCCTACTACAGCTTGAACAACTTTTTCCTGTGACTGTTTCCCAGCTCTATAAAATCAACACAGCTCTTCCTGTTGGCTTGCAGAAAAAGAAAACAATGAAACAATATCCAGATTTTTATGAAGTAGCTCCTTACATAACTAGTGGTAGCATAAATACATGCCAAGCCAGCAGATACTGGGAGAAAGAAGAAAGATCACAACTATGGGAGGAACAGAGGTGGCTGTCTGCAGCAGATCATAATGAGCACACAATCAGCATAGAGAAATTTCTCTAATGGTGTTGTCATTTAAATAATCTCTTTACTGTAATAGCTTTCTATCTGCTTCCTTCTCCGTGATTATTACTGAGGTCAGTTTTGAAATCAGAGTTGCCAGTGTAAGAGCTCCCTGAATCATTTACTAACTATAAATAATTAAACCCCAAACCAAACAACACCCAAAATCAATGCAGTCAACCCGCACTCTGCCTGTTGCCCTGAGATTTCAGCTACTGCTGTTGAACTGAAGTCAGGTGCTGATGTGTAATGTGTTGACACCGAGAAAATGAGAAAGAGGAAACATCCACCCCTGAGCCTGCACCCCATCCCTCCCAGATTGCCTGTGCCATTAGTTTGAAGACAGTTTATTGCTGAAAGGCATCAGCCACCTGCATGTGGCACTCGGCAGCACACTGAGCTGCCAGCCAAGGCAGCTGGGCTTGAAGTGACAGTAACTCCATGGTTGACATCTGTAAGGCTGATTCAAGTGAGCAGAGGTTTGGAGAAGACAGTCTTTACAGTAGGGGCTCTCACAGATGAGAGAAATCTCTTGGTGGCTCTGTAAAGCTCCATGCACACAGCCCTGCACCTCCAGTCGAGCTGTAAATAATAACTACACCGATAGAGTCTTATTTACTGATAGTAAAGAAGGACATTTGCTTAGAAGTGCTCACCTGGGAGTTGCTGCTGGCTTCCAATACCTGCAGAAGAGATGCTGCCCATCAGCGTTGACAATGTGGGGCAGGTCCTTGTATGGTACGTTTTGAGGACTCCGCTTTGGCGAACTTTCCTCTGGCATTCTGGCAGAGTGACCTGCACGGTGTTGGAAGAGACAAGACATACTTTAAACCAGATGAAGGCAAGGAAGTGGGCTTGGCAGCCACAGACATTGAAAGTCAGGCAGCAAGGCAAGCACCACTGATGGGAGTCTCCCTCCAAAACCCCAGCCAAAAAGTCCCCCAAATTTTACTGCTTTAAAACAGCAGTGTAGCGTTTTGTGTCCAGACAAGGCTCACATTTTGGGAGGAGGGCGTTGGAGGGGGGGAAGGAGGGAAGATCAATCCACCATCGCTACTTCATTAGAGCTTTCTCTCCCCCACTTCTCCCATCTGTGTTTATTTTGCATCATTTTGTGAAACGGCTCCTAAAAAGAATATTTTCGCTTTTTTTGCCGCCCCAGCCACAGAGCTGAAAAGACAGCTGCATAAAAGATTTATCTCTGCCTCAACATCTCCAAAGCCCAGCGGCGGGTACGCAGCAGAGGCATCTGCCACCGTGTCATCATTAAGATCTTCTCTGACATCTCCGACAGGAAGGTGGCGGCTGTGGGGAACGCAGCGTTTCCAGCAGGATTCGCGACAAACCTGTTTTCATCCTGTGCGAGGGTTTGCATTCTAGTGAGGAGCCGGCATCGCAAGTCAGATGCAAGCACAGCAGAAGCCTTCTCGCATCTCGCTACGGAGACGC